TCAGCCCCTCCTTTTGTACTTCCATTTTTTATCTCTTATTTTTTTTTCTAGTCCAAATCCTTTTCTTCCATGTCTTCTCTCCCACTTGTCATTCAACACTTCTACCACTTCTGCCAAAGGCTTAACTTAAAATCTTCTGACAGCAAGTCAAGCAGCAGCGCAGAGAGCGGGGGGGGGAGCCGCAGGTGCCAAGCATTCGGCAACCAACCAGAAGCTGGGGATGAGCCTAGAGGAGGCCAAACAGATTCTTAATGTTGAGGAACTTGACCTTGAGAAAGTGCAGAAGAACTACGAGTATCTGTTTAGCATCAACGACAAAAGCAAAGGCGGGTCCTTCTATATTCAAAGCAAGGTGAGTGGGAAAACTTTCTTAGGTTTTGCTTGTAGTGTTCTAAAGTAAAAGATGGTTCCTTCCAAACCGAGGAATTAAATTTATACATGAGAGTATATATGTGTATGCCATTATTCAGTTATTTTTTTCCTTTTCATGTCTTTATCTCTTCTTTTTTCATCTTATTTGACTTCAATCTACATGGTAGCTCAGTTGTATTTAGATGTGAACAATTCCACTGTTGACAAAGAAATAAAAATGCTAGTAAAACAATAAGAAAGCCATGAGGTATCAGATCTCAGCAGCAGCAGAGAAAAGACAGAGATTCAGCTGATACAAAGTTTTTCTCGTAGATGCCCAGAGGAGGAGCATGGAGGAGCCTAAGTTCAGCAAGGTTCCCACCTGGGATATGGGCAAGGATACCTTTATCTCAAAGCACCTGCCCAGCCCTGTCCGTAAGGCACTTTGCCACGGCCCCCCTCACATGGGACAATGTGCTGTCTGAGGCAAACCGTAATCGCTGTGTCTCTTACATGGAAAAGATGAAGAAGCCAAAAAAGTGGAAATGGGAAACTAGTAGATTTGCCTCTGTCCTGATTCCTCTTTGTCATGTAGAGGGAGAGCTGGCTGTACTCTTTACAGTGAGGTCTGTTCAGCTAAGTAAGCATCGTGGGGAAGTAAGCTTTCCTGGGGGGATGGCAGACCCCGATGATAAAGACATCATAGAGACTGCTCTGAGGGAAACTGAAGAAGAAATTGGCATATCAAGGTCAAGTATTGATGTCTGGGGAGTGATGCCCAGCATGCCCAGTAGGGCTCGTGATACTACTGTCAGGGGGGTTCTGGCTTACATTGGGGAGGTTGACTCCAGCTCATTCACAATATCAGAGAATGAAGTCGAGTCTGTGTTTGCGGTGACGCTGAAAAACCTCTGTGATCCCGAAAATGCAAGGCAGTGCCAGTTCCGCTCTAAGGATATCAAAGGAGGTTATACCATACCTGTGTTCCTGGGATCAGAGCCTCGTGTTTGGGGTCTGACTGCCATTATGTTGCACATAGCTCTCTCATCCCTCCTTCCTGGGCTCTATAAGAACAAGCTTGTTCATCTGCCACAGTTGATGGAATGAATAGTTGCATTTGCTCATTAGCACTGGAATAGAAAATTATATTTTTATAAGTTAGAGTTACTATAGCTAAATGTTTCTTTGTATATTATGGGTAGAAACAGAAATATTTTATCCTAAGGTGCTGATTATAGAATGAGTGAAAGTTGATCTTGAAATTATGGAAAGAACATATGAATATATATACACACATACCAGCATATCTATATCTATCCATCTACCCATTTGATGAGTATCTTCCATCTACATATAACTACTATAGATATGTATCAGTCTGTCTGTCTGTCAATCTCTCATTCTATCTATCTATATAAATATATAGATATCTGAATATAGAAATATATAGATGTATAGATATATAAATATGTATATATAAATATAGATATAGATATAGATATATAGATATATAGATATATAGATATACAAATAAATGGGTACATGGATAATGATATTGATATGAATATGAATGTGAATTGAATTGATTTGAATATGAATATGAATATGAATATAAATATTAATATGAATATGAATATCAATATCAATATCAATATATGAACATGAACATGAACATGAACATGAACATGAACATGAACATGAACATGACTGTATATATATATATATATATATATATATATATATATATATATATATATATATATATATATATTTATTACACACACACACACACACACACACACACACACACACACACACACACACACACACACACACACACACACACATGCACACACACACACACACACACTCACTCACTCACTCACTCACTCACTCACTCACTCACTCACTCACTCACTCACTCACTCACTCACTCACTCACTCACTCACTCACTCACTCACTCACCCACTCACCCACTCACCCACTCACCCACTCACCCACTCACCCACTCACCCACTCACTCACTCACTCTCTCACTCTCTCACTCTCTCCCTCTCTCTCTCTCTCTCTCTCTCTCTCTCTCTCTCTCTCTCTCTCTCTCTCTCTCTCTCTCTCTCTCTCTCTCTCTCTCTCTCTCTCTCTCTCTCTCTCTCAAGAAGAAAAAAAATAACATTAACCTTACTTGTATAATGAACTGAAAGCCTGGGCTTCCATTGATATATCTAACTTAATTCTAACTCTTATGCACTTATGTCATAATGTTCACAAAGTATAGTCTAAATGGAAGGACTTTAGATATGTAGTTGTTTTTCCTTTTAATATTCATTTTATGTAAATTTAGTAAGCACTATATTTCTTTTTCTTTTTTTCTTTTTTTTTTTAGTAGTAATACTATATAGGTACTATATAAGTACAGTGTGATATGAATAAAGTATGCAAATATGTAATTTTACATACTCTAAAGACTTGATATTCATAGAAAATGTTTTATCTAATGATGTACTGACCTACCTCTTTATTTTCATTGAAAATATTAATAATGAATGTATGAAATTACCTCTTAGTTTCATAGAAAATATTAATAACGAATGTATGAAATTACCTCTTACTTTCATAGAAAATATTGATAAGAGATGTTGTAGAACAACAGTATATCTAGTAATGTATGACATTACCTCTTACTATAAAAGAAAATATCCATATGGAATGTTGTGGGACAAAAATGTTATATTATGATGCATGAACTCACCTCTAATTTTCATCACTTCAGATTGTGCGAGCAAAGGAAAGGATAGATTCAGAGATGGAAAATATTCAAGAAAATAAAGTAAAAGAAGAAGGAAAGAAGGATAATGATACTTGAAAATTAAAAAGTGTGTAAGCTGATATGATCTTTTTTATTTGGTATTTATAAGGTAAAAAACTTAACCCAGGTAACTCCGCAATGACTTTGTAGGAAGTGATTCACAGTTGTCTTAAAATGTTTCAAAAGATAGAAATCATCATTAATTCCATCTAAATATACGGCCGTTATAAAATGATTCATATGTGTTTTATACTTTTTTTTTTTGTATATTTGTTGATGTAGACATTATATTGGATTACTGATGGGCATCCTTCCATGTGAGAAATGTAACAAACAGCAGACTGTAAATAAAATTAATTTTGTTACCAATCTGTTCTCATTATTCTTACCTTGCAAAATTATATTTGTCTTCAGATGTTATAACCTCTTTTGAAACCTATTTTTAATCATTGATTTTTGAGAATCAATACCATTCCATGCACAGAAGTTTTTTAACACTGCCAAAAAGAAATATACATGCTCCCAGTTAAGTTATTTTGCACAAGTTTCACTCTCTTGACATGTTAGGGTTTGTGTACCAAAAGATTGACAAATTTAGAGATACATGATGATTAAAGAAATATATAAAGAAATCATATTTGTTATATATATAATACCCACTTTCTCTCCTTCACTGTTTTAATATGTTCAATGTTGGGTGAATTCAACAAAAAATGAGAAATAACTCCCACCAATTTTTTCTTCCATTTACATATTACCCGACAAATTGAATTTCAAAGCTTCCATGAAATAGACTCTGAATGGTAAAACAAATAGTATTGGCTTTTTAAGTTAACTGGCAAACTAACAACATAAAGTAGAATTTCCTTAAACTTTTATGCTTAAACTCGTGATCTTTAGTTTGTCAGAAGAAGTGGTATTTTAGTTTTAAACAAATGCTAATTGGCTATGCTTTCTATATTATCTGTAGTAAATGTTTATCACAAATTGAAGTAATACCAATACACTAACACAAAATAACAGTGACTTGTCATACTAGGTGCTGGCTTTCATTTATGAAAATGTCAAGCCAACCACCATTTTTTAAAAATCTGTTCATACTTCATTTGTCATCCCTGCTTTGCAATAGCAAATGTGATTACACTGATCTCTTGGGATCACATGACACACATCAAGTAAGTTTCTTACTGAAAGCCATTGTAGGAAGGCATGTATGTTTCAATTACCTGACATGGCAAATTTCCAAACACAGAAACAAACTTTGCTTTTTAAGCTGCAAATAGTATGGTACATCCTTAATGTTGAATAGGGAAAATTCCACTGTTTCATTGAATGAAAAGAGGTACCTTCCCAGGGCGTGCTTGAAGTCGGAGTTAAATACATACTATCAATTTTCATGAACTGGCAATAGATTATGAAAGGAAGGGTGACTTTCACATATGCATCTATTAATGTTTCTTCATTTGCATATAAGAATCAATAAGATAATTTTGTATTGTTTACTTTTGCCATCACAGTATATTTAAATATAACACTATATCTAGTATTACAAAGCACCTGAAGGATATTCAGAACTATACAAAATTTGTCTAAATAATAAAGAAATGCTTACTCTTTCATGATTGATTGCAAGGTATGGATTTTTATAAAATTATATTTTTGAGTGGATAAAAAGTTCACTGTTGCAGTTGTAACGAAGCAGTGTTAAAACTAAAGTCTTCCTGACTTTGTAATGTTTGAACAAGGAGGGGGTCAGTTACGCTGCATTAATCACAGTAGATATGAATCAATAGTCCCTATATTATTCTCACAATAGGACTATAAAAGCTTTGCAAGACCAAATTAGTACTTGCTTAAATATATAGCAACACGTCTCTGCACCCAGTGGTTGCCCCCTTTTGCTCCAGCAGGAAGAGTAATGTTCAACACAGGCATCTGACTGGCACTACTGCTCGGACCTCCCTCGTAAACAGGGCACTCATAGTACCTCGACCGAGCCGTCGAAAGCACGTCACTCCTACTGCTGGGTAGCGTCTCCTCCCCCAAGTGCAGGTCGAGTGAAGTGGAATCCTTGATGTTTTGAAATTCGTCAGAGAAACGGGTTTGATGCGCTTCCGAAGTAGGATGATCCTCCGTGGAAGGTCGGTCTGACGCTGGTGGTTCAGGTCCCTCTGCTGCTTCTACAGGTCCCTCACTTTCAGTTAGGGTTGTCGATGACTGCCGATGAAGCGAGGGTTGAGAGCGGGCTGTGGTGCAGAGTGAAGGCGCCCCTCGCATGGTGTACGACCCGGTCTGCACGGTGGGTGTTGGAATCATGCTTAGCAATGGGAGCTTCTGTATCAGCTCTTGGGATGACGGTTCCTCCAACTCTTTTCTGAAAAAATCGTAGTCCACTGTTACAGGCATTAACGTTTTTTTTAAGTATACGAGCTATATTTATATAATATTCAAAATACGGTCGTTTATAATATATTTCTTTGTTATAATATGAAGATTTACACCATTTAGGTTAAGGTCATAATACACATACAATAGTCGACAGGGAGTTTCGGCACAAATGTATGTCTGTATGTTTAAGATTGAAGGAAAATTTAGGGGAACTGTGCCATTACTATATTAGACAATAGTAAGGAGATTAATAAAAGCATAACAAATGTGGAAAATGAAAGTAATACCCTTATGAAAGTCAAACGTTCACATGGTCTTACTTGTTTACGTTCCACGCTGCTCCAACTAGCCACATCCCATGGACGACGAGACCATCGTTCCCCAGTGCATTCCAATGGGCTCTGGACTCCTTGGTGCTTATTGGCCAAACCTTTTCTTCTGGTTCTTCTGGAGCTGTCTTTTCCGCCTTGGTTTCCTCCTCTTTCTCCTCTTCCTTGTCTCCTCCATCTTCTTGCGATGCCTTTTCGTCATCACCTCCTTCTTCAGGAACACTAGCTTCCTCCGTCTCTTTCTCGCCCTCTTCTCTATCGACTTGTTCGCCGCCGTCTTTAGTGTCCTCTTCCTCCGCGTCGCTTGGCATGAACTCCGGCATCTCCGGCGATGGCTCGTCGGTTAAGT